GAACTAGAAACCGTTGATCTATTCTTTTATATCTGCTTTAGTTTTTGAACAGTCCTGCCTAAAACAGGAATCAAAAAGGGAAAAATGCTATATATAAGCTCATTTCCCTTAAGCAACTTCTATAGCCTTTAAAAAATAATTTCTGTGTAGTCACAATATTTTTTTTTCAATTAGTTGGTGGAAGCAGAACAAAAATGTCTCATTACTACTATACAGTGATAAATTTTGTGACCTTTTAGACATGTTGCTGACAGATTGGAAGATGGCAGTTTAAAATGGACTCACTTTAAATCTATCAGCAAACACCAACAGTTTAGATTTTTATAGCTGAACTAGATTAAAATGCCTCACAATTGCATACAGAATTTGTTCTCAGGTCTACTTTTGGAATCTCATATTAAACTAAACAGCCTGGTTATTTCCAGAAATACGCATTTGTTCTTAGGAAACTAAGAAGACTACCCAAGAACATGCATTCAGCTGAATGGAAGATATAAATACAACTTCCCAGAAAAAGTAATTAACCTTTCGTTCTTTCCAGCCAAGATGAAATTGCTACCATTCTATCCAAAGTGTCATTGGAGGACAACTATTTGAAGAATGTGGTCAAGCAAATTTACCAAGATCTGTTTCAGGACTGCCATTTCTACCACTAAATCCATGGACCACAGTTGTAACAAGCAAGCAGCATGCACTTAATGATATTGTGTCAGGGTCTTCATTGCTGTTTAACCTTTATCTTTAGGTCATAGAAGCCTAGTAAAATTCGCACTGATGATGTTATAATTGATATGTTTGAGTAGTTTTCAAATCTGTATAATCAGGGGGTGATGAAAGGCCTCAAATATTCTGTAACCAAGTTGCTCATTTTTGTTTAAAGGTTTAAGTAGTAGTACACTTAGGGAAAATTTCCCCTGGCTAAAGTATTGCTCTCTGCTTTGTCCTAAAGAGGAACATTTAAGCATAGGAGAAGTTACCATTGACAAAAACATTAGCCATTTGCCCATATACAGAACTAGGATTTTTAGGTAGCTTGGCTTTTACTAGCAGATATTTCTGAAATAGAAACATGTCTGTTTACAAACAACTATTCCTCCTTTTTCTCAGTGTCAGAAATGTTAAGAAAAAGCAAATAGTATTCAGCTATTTGAATTGTTACCATCTTTTCTTGAGGGCCTTGCTTTTTATTTTGTGATGTCTATTGTTTTCCCAGTGAATAGTTTTTTAAGCAGAGTAAATTCATTTTGGCCCAGTATGTATGTAAATATATTAATGTTGTATTTGTGATATAGTAAGAAGATGTATATATCATATAGTGGATAGAGAAATACCTTTCTGCTTAGTTTCCATCTTTCTCAGGAAACTTAATAGCAAAAAGATCAATTGTCATTTATTAAATAATGACATAACACAATATCACACCCTGGATAAACTTATTAATAAGTATTTTTCCTGAAAGTACACCCTCCTCATTTAAAAATAAGCATATCCATTGATTATTAAGTGACCAATATTATCTATGAGGTAGACAAATATGAAATAGCTTTTACCCAAACTTTTGTCAAATCCTAATCATGATAATTGTTTCTCTTATATTTAATTCTAAACAAAAATATTTTCATTCTTAAACTGATTTGTCTTAAAATTTACTGTTTACTTAGGATCAGGTTAAAGTCCTGTGGGTCCCTTTGAGTATTATCTTCCCTCTTGGTTTCTACATCTGATATAAAGTCCAAAGATCATATGGTCTTTTAAGCTTCAAAAGTCAAAATTCATTTGCTATGAAAACTAATATGTGTTCCCTATATAATATAATAGTATAATCCTTGAAAAACTTTTAAAGTTATAAGTATGGTCCAATTTCCCATGAAACTTAAGTTAGCTTTCTTATTGGAGTTTTGTTTTCTTTCTTCTGTAAGTCGTAAAAAGTAGAGGTTTTTATTTTATGCATTTTGGTAACCTGGAAGAACTAGCTGCAAGGATGATTTGGCCTATAATGATGGTCTCTTGCTTTCCTTGGGTTTGGAGGATGTGATTGTAATATTTACCTACCTATTTGTATTGTATTTTTCTTTGTTGAGAGCATTGGCTATTTTCATAAAATTGTTTGGAAATTTATCTTTCAATAATTGGAAAGAAGATTATTTTTTGCACATTAAATTTGTTACTTGAAATCCTTTGTAAATAATATGTCTTTATTAAGTGAGGAGTATTTGACCATGTATCAAAAAGATTTATTTACCTGAAAGGCCGCAATAGCCAGGACCAGGTCAAGCTGAAGCCAAGAGCCCAGAGCTTCATCCAGGTCTTCCACATGAGTGGCAGGGCCCAAGTACAAACCAGAGCTATCCTCACGTCCCTGAAACACAGTAAAAGAAAACTATTTTGAGTTTCCTGAAGAGTCTGTTATTTTTTATTTGAGAGACAGAAAGCTCCCATCTGTTTGCTCATCCCCATGCTCATCCCCTAGGCTACGCTGAGGGCCAAATCCAGGTGACTGGAACTCACATAGGTGAGGTACCCATTTACTTGAGCCATCCCTGCTGCCTCCCCAGGACTACATCAGAAGGAAGTTGGAACTGGCCAGCAAACCCAGGTACTGATATGGGACATGGATGGTTCAGCAGCTAAGACAAATGCCTGCCCCTCTTTGTTTTTTTTTTTTGTTTGTTTTTGTTTTTGTTTTTGTTTTTAAGATTGATTTATTTATTTGAAGGGCAGAGTTACACAGAGAGAGAGGGGAGGCAGAGAGAGAGAGGGCTTCGATCCACTAGTTCACTTCCCAATTGGCCACAACAGCTAGAGCTGTGCCAATCCAAAGCCAGGAGCTGAGAGCTTCTTCCAGATCTCCCACATGGGTGCAGAGGCCCAAGGACCTGGGCCATCTACTGCTTTCCCAGGCCATAGCAGAGATCTGGATCGGAAGTGGAACAACTGGGACCTGAACCAGCGCCTATATGGGATGCTGGCACTGCAGGTGGAGGATTAACCTACTATGTCACAGCCCTGACCCCTCCAAGTTCTTAGTGGATTGTTTTGAAGGAAAGAGATTAAAAACTAGTCAGTTCATTTTAGAGAAGACTTTACATTAAGGGATCGTTTCTATAGCTACTAGGGAAGGCTCTCTGAATATATGAGGAAGAAACAAAGCTGTTTGTCCTGAGTATGAAGCTGGTGTTGCTTTGGTCCAACTGCCATTTGCCACTGATGATAGTTCTTACCTTTCTCTGGGAGAATAAAAGAGACAGAATGCAGTTGGGGTGGTTTCCATTTGTGTAATTGGTCTAAACAGAAAGAAAATGAATTTTATTTATTCACTAGACTTGACTCTAAATCCCAATTTTAATCTTCAGGAGCAAGAATATAGATAGCCCATTTTGGATTAAATGAACACTGCTGGTCGCTTAGTTGTGACTGGAAAGGTCAAAGTCATGTGACCTCACTGGTGGGGAAAGGACTGTGGTTTTGTAGACTTTTTGAGCTGAAAGAGTATGAACAAGGGGTTGGGCGAAAGTGGGTAGTTTTTGTATGGAAAATAGTTTACTGTAATCCTAGGCCCTATCTAAGTTAATCACTAAATTACTAAAGATTTTTCCTAGGTCTAGAATGGCTCTTGAATCTGTTCTCTGTCGATGCCCTAACTTAAGCCTTCAACTCTGGCCTGAAATGTTGCACAAGCTTCTGAATGGATTTTTGCTGTCTCTGCTCCTTCTTGAAATTGTTTTTTAATGCCACGAGATGATGGCAAGAGGATGGTGTGAGCTGTTAACTTTAAAGCACTCAACAAACAGAAAATAGTAGTAGTAGGGGGGAAAGTAAATCTAACCTATGACTCATCTTAAAACTGAATTATTTGGGGGTCAGTGTTCTGACACAGCAGCTAAAAGCGGATGCTTGGGATGCCAGCATCAGAGTGCTTGGGATGAAGTTCTTCCTCTGTTCCCCTCCTCTTCTCAGATTTGTTTTATTCATTTGAAAGGCATAGTTACACAGAGACAGATAGATCTTTCATTTGCTGGTTCGCAGCATAAATGGCGTTAAGGTTAGGAGCTGGGCCAGGCTGAAGCCAGGTGCCAGGAGCTTCATCTCCACAACCTGCTAATGAACCTGGGAGGTAGCAAATGATGGTCCAATTATGTGGGTTCCTGTCACCCTCGTGGGAGACCCTGATGAGTTCGTGGCTCCTGGCTTTGGCCTGGCCCAGCCCAAAGAAAGTGAACCAGCGGATGGAAGAACCCCTTCTCTCTGACTTTAAAAGAAATACTTCGTTATTTCCCAAAGTAAAGACCAAAGCTCCTTACACCTCTTAGCTTGAACTAAATGTAACTTTCCTGGTCTCCATTCTTCCTCATCAGACAACATTATTCCTTGAACAAAGTTTATCCGCAAGCCCACACTGCACTGTTTTTATGTCTTCCACCGCTTGCTTCTTCACCCAAAAACTCTACCCAGCTTTCAAAATCGGAATCACAGGACGAACGTCCTGGTAAACCGTAAGGTTTGCCTTCTCAAATTCTGCGCCTCCTTCCTCTGGGGTCCTGCCAATCTCCAGTAAGTCACTGCAGATGACAGACACGGAGACATTTCTTTCTCCCCTCTGCTAGCTCCATTTTCATCCATCTGCCACAGATTCCTCAACTCCACCCCTGTCGGGGGCCTGGAAAGCGCTCGGCTCCAGGGTACAGCTCCCAGAAGAACCAAAAGCCCACATTCAAAGAACTACAGACACAACCAACAGGTCTCCCGGAAGTCAGAGCGCCCACCGGCGCCTCCCGGGAGATACAGCCCCGGCCCCACCACTCCAGCTCCTGGGAGTTGTGGTCCTCCATCTCGTGAAGACAAGAAGGTGGCGATTTAGAAAGTTTTGATTAGTCCTTGCGTTTAAGGGAGGTGGGAAACTCATAACACCACGCGGTGCCAAGCTCCTCAGCCCTTTCCCTACGGCCCCGAGCTCGGGCGGCCGGCGGAGCGCGAGGGGCGGGGCGGCGCGACGCCGACGCGTGCGTGACGCCGCCCTGAGGGTTTTGGCGGGACTTCCGAAAGCCGCCCCGCAGGACCAGCTGTGTTGACCGGGTCTTGAGGGGAGCTGAAACCTTCCGCTGGTCACGGGGTTGGATTTGAAACTCGCCGAGGTTGTGCGCAGAGGGCCGGAGCAAGGCGTGGACAAGTGGGTCTCGGGTCGGGGCCGAGGCCCTCCGGGGGTCGAGCGTGCGCCGGATCAGCGGACAGAAGCCCGAGCGAGCAACGCTGTTAGGCCCAGGTGAGTGTAAGTCGTCGGCCTGGCCTGTTTCCACGGCCGCGGCTCCTCCTCTCGTTGACCGGGCGCAGACAGGGGCCTGTGCTCCCTCGGCCGGCTTTTGGGATCTGCTGGTGAAAAAACGGAAGATGGCGGAGCCGGGGCGTGCCTGCGCCCAACGGACTTGGGGCTCGTTGTGGAGAGTCCCAGCGGCCGCCTGTCCTGAGCAGTGTAGTCACAGCTGTTTCACGCCGCCTGCATTTCCGTGTTCTGCTCCGTCTGTCCATGACACCATTTTCTGCTTACAAAGTACCAACCTTAAGTTGCCAGAAAGATATTTTCATGCTTTAGATGGAAAAGCATTCATATGGTGCCTAGGAAATTTTCCGAAGTGGGATTTGGCACGCAGAAAGCCTTCTAAAGTGGACTGAAACACAATATAGAAACGCGCACGTCCCAAGCGTATACAGCGATTATTGCAAAATGAATACACCTGTGTAATCATGCATGTCAAACAGAATGCTGTCAGCACCCCAGCAGCCTCTCTTCTGCCCCCTTGTCGCTTATTTTCTCTCTTCTGTTAACCGTGTATACCATTAACGAATACCGGCTGTTTTTGAATTTTGTATGAATGCACCAGAAGTTTTGAGAGTTTACTTTTTCCACATACTTGCCAACACTTGATCTTCGTCATTCTTTTTATTTTTAGGTATTCTAGTAAATAGTAATATTTCATTGTGGCTTAAATTTTAACTTTCCTGATATTGATGAGGTTAGGCATTTGTTCATATGTTTCTTGACCATTTGGACGTCTTGTGAAGTGGCTATTCAATTTCTACCTATTTTTCTACTGATTATCTTTTTCCTCCTGGTTTGAAGGCATTCTTTATATTCTGATTAACAGCCATCAGTTTTATATGGTAAATATTTTCTTTATTTGACTTCTCATTCTCTTAATGGTATCTTGAGGGATAGAAGTTCTGAGTGTAAGTGTAGCCCAGTTTTTCAGTCTTTTCCTTTTTGGTTATCACACTAGGTATCCAGTTGAAGAATTCTTTCTCTTTCCCATGGTTTTTGGTTTTTTTTTTTTTTTTTTTTTTTTTTTTTTTGACAGGCAGAGTGGACAGTGAGAGAGAGAGACAGAAAGGTCTTCCTTTGCCGTTGGTTCACCCTCCAATAGCCGCCGCGGCCGGCGCGCTGCAGCCGGCGCACCGCGCTGATCCGATGGCAGGAGCCAGGAGCCAGGTGCTTTTCCTGGTCTCCCATGGGGTGCAGGGCCCAAGCACCTGGGCCATCCTCCACTGCACTCCCTGGCCACAGCAGAGGGCTGGCCTGGAAGAGGGGCAACCGGGACAGAATCCGGCGCCCCGACCGGGACTAGAACCCGGTGTGCCGGCGCCGCTAGGCGGAGGATTAGCCTAGTGAGCCGCGGCGCCGGCCTTTCCCATGGTTTTATATATATATGTGTGTGTGTATATATATATATATATTTTTTTTTTTTTGGACAGGCAGAGTGGACAGTGAGAGAGAGAGACAGAGAGAAAGGTCTTCCTTTGCCGTTGGTTCAGCCTCCAATGGCTGCTGTGCTGCGGCCAGCGCACCGCGCTGATCCGAAGGCAGGAGCCAGGTGCTTCTCCTGGTCTGGTTATGATTGTTTTTACCTCTTAAATTTAAATCTGTAATCTAAATTGGAAATTGACTTTTTTTTCTGTGATATGAGAGGGATCAAGTCCATTTTATTCTGCAAGACTACCCAGTCGGCCCAGTACTATTTACTGAGATGACCATCCTTCCCCATTGCTCTGCAGTGAATCTATTTTCATAAATTAGACAGTGGAGGTTTTTCTGTTGCATTCAGCTGATTCTGATACATGGCATTCTTATCAACTCAGTATGCTAAATCTGCTGCTAAGAGATCTGTACTTGAGCCAGACCAGATGGTCATCCAGCATTGTCTGTCAAGCCTCCAAGTGTGGAATTCATCTTTTTTTTTTTTTTTTTTGGTAGAATATACTTATTTATTTGAAAGGCAGAGAGAGAGAGAAGGATCCTCTATCTAGTGGTTCACTCCCCTAAATGGCTGCTACAGCCAGGTCTGAGCCAGGTTGAAGCAAGGAGCCAGGAACTCTATCTTGGTGTTCCATTTGTGTGGCAGGGGGCACAAGCACTTGGGTTGTCTTCCACTGCCTTCTCAAGCACATTAGCAGGTAGCCGAATCAGGAGACAAGATTGACCCTAATATGGGATGCAGGTGTTCGGAAGCGGGTGTTGAACCTGCTGCTCTGTAACATGCCCTGGAATTCCTATCTGTCAGACTGTCCTCAGATGAGAGAGGGTACCTCAGAAAGTTCATGGGAAGTGGAATTTAAAATAAGGAGTTTATTTTGTTGCAAATCAACTTTGAAATCCATGCATAGTTGTTTACATATACACATTTTGTATGTATTAAGGAAGAATTCTTTCAAGTTTTATTTATTTATTTAAAAGGTAGATCAACAGAGAGAGGGTGAGAGAGCTTCAATCTAATGGTTCACTCCCAGATTGCCACAACAGCCACATCTGAGTCAGGCAGAAGCCAGGAGCCAGGAACTCCATCCAAGGGTAGCAGGGCCCCGTGTTTGGGCCATCTTCTGCTGCCTTCACAAGTGCATTAGCAGAAAGCTGTATCAGAAGCAGAGGAGCTGGGGCTTGGAACCAGCACTCAGTGGGATGCCAGCATTGCTTTGTACAACACGAGCCCCGCAAGCTGACCAATCTTTTTTGTTTGTTTGTTTAAGATTTATTTTTTATTCATTTGAAAGACAGAGTCACAGAGGTAGAGACATAGAGAGAGGTCTTCCATCAAGTGATTCACTCCTCAGATGGCCGCAACGGCCAGACCCATGCCGATCCGAAGCCAGGAGCCTCTTCCAGGTCTCCCACGTGGGTGCAGGGGCCCAAGGACCTGGGCCATCTTCCACTGCCCTCACAGGCCACAGCAGAGAGCTGGGTTGGAAGAGAGGCAGCCAGCACTAGAACCGGTGCCCATATGGGATGCTGGTGCCCCAGGCCAGGGCTTTAACCCGCTGCACCACAGCACTGGCCCCATCAATCTTTTTTTTTTTTTTTTAAGTTTTTTCAAAGGTTTATTTTATTATTTGAAAGGCAGAATTAGAGAGAGAGAGAGAGAGAGAGAGGTCTTCCATCTACTGGTTCACTCCCCAAATGGCTGCAGTGGCTACAGCTGTGCCAGTCTAAAACCAGGAGCTTCTTTTGGGTCTCCCACACGGGTGCAGGGGCCCACGGACTTGCACCATCTTCTGCTTTTCCAGGCCATAGCAGAGAGCTGGATTGGAAGTAGAGCAGCCGGGACTTGAACCAACAACCATATGGGATGCCTGCACTGTAGGTGGCAGCTTTACCCTGTACACCACAGTGCTGGCCCCAAGATTTTATTTACTTGAGAAAAAGTTACAGAGTTAAACTCAAATGGTTACAACAGCCAGAGCTGTGTTGATCCGAAGCCAGGAGCTTCTGGGTCTCCTGTGCAGATGCAGGGGCCCAAGTATTTGGGCCATTTTCCACTGCTCTCCCAGGGCATAAGCAGAGAGCTGGATCTGAAGAGAAGCAGCCAGGACACAAACCAACACCCATTTGGGATGCCAGTGCCACAAGCAGAGGCTTAGCCTACCTACTATGCCACAGCTCTGGCCCCAGGCTGACCAATCTTAACTTTAGCATAATAATTTTATTTTAGGAATAGACTTTACAATTAAATTGAAGATTTCAGAATGATCAGGGTATTTACCTGCTTTATTTGCTTATTCACTGAAGTCTGGCATTGACTAAAATAGTGATCTTTAAATTCCATACACTCCTGTTGGAAGTTTAAGTATGGCTATAAGCTATGATCCTTGCTTGTGATGGGGCGTCCTTTTTTTTTCTTTTTAATTTGAAAGAGTTATAGAGAAAGGAGCCGAGAAGAGATCTTCCATCCACTGGTTCACTCCCCAGATGGCTGCAACAGCCCGAGCTGGGCCAGACCTGAAGCCAAGAGCCTGGAGCTTTTCTGGGGCTCCTACGTGGGTGGAGGGCCCAAGCACTTGGACCATCTGCTGCCTTCCCAGGCACATTAGCAGGGAACTGGATTGGAGGTGGAGCAGCTGGGACTCGAACCGGCACCCATATGGAATGCCAGTGTCTTGGGCCAAGGCTTAACCTGCTATGCCTCAAGCCAGCCCCCAGAGGTGCTTCCCTAATCTGTTTGTTCTTTCTCTACCATGAATGGAGCTTATATAGAGTGGGTCACCACTCTATATCTTTTAATAGTCCTCTAACCCCCATGCTCCTCTTACTGGAAGAAAACAGAACTAAAATAGTTTAACCTTTCATAGTCCTAAAGAGTCTATAATCATTTAGCAAACACCTAACATTTCTTCTTCTTTTTTTTTTCCCCCAAAGATGTATTTATTTATTTGAAAGTCAGAGTTGCAGAGAGAGAGGAGAGGCAGAGAGAGAGAGAGGTCGGTCTTCCCATCTGATGGCTCATTCCCCAGTTGGCCACAGTGGCCAGAGCTGCGCCGATCCGAAGCCAGGAACAGGAGCTTCTTCCGGGTCTCCCACGTGGGTGCTGGAGTCCAAGGATTTGAACCATCTAGTACTGCCCCCCCAACCCCCAGGCCACAGCAGAGAGTTGGATCAAAAGTGGAGCAACCAGGTCTCCAAACCGGCATCCATATGGGATGCCAACACTTAAGGCCAGGGCATTAACCCTCTGTGCCACAGCGCCAGCCCCCACCTAATATTTCTGATGTGCCATCATATAATCAGCAGAAAACCCAATGGGTTTTTTTTTCCTTATTTATTTGAAAGAGTTAGAGAGAGAGGTCTTCCATCTGTTGGTTCACTCCCCAGATGGCCACAATAGCTGAAGCTGAGCCTATCCAAAGCCAGGAGCTTCTTCTGGGTCTCCCACATGGGTGCAGGGGTCCAAGGACTTGGACCGTCTTCTACTGCTTTCCCAGGCCATAGCAGAGAGCTGGATTGAAAGTGGAGTATCTGGGACTCGAACTGGTGCCCATATGGATGCCAGCACTGCAAGCCAGGGTTAACCTGCCATGCCACAGTGCCACCCCCCCCCCCACGGTTCTTATTTAGTGATATACCAGTAGAAATACACTGACAATGATTTGAGCCATACGCAGAAAGGAATATATTTGGGTTGGCCAAGGAAGAATCAATATTGTCTTGATGACCAAAGCCCAGGCTTCCTGAAAAGACATGAGTTACAGGTTTTATACAGCTTGTTTCTGGGGAAATTGAACATATTCTTTAAGTGTAGGAGAAGTTCTGGGAAGGGTTATGCATATTCAAAAATGGTTGGGTAGATATGCTTACAACATCCTGTTTGTTGCCTGTGTGTGTTCTATGTTTAGCTGGGCATAGAGATTTAACATAATGGATTTTGGCTTTCTGTGTGGAAAGGTGAAGGAAGGGTACAATGACCCCTAGTGGGCAGGCTTCTCAAACTACCTACAACTAGTTGGAACTTGGAGCTTCTTAATGAAAAGTGTTAGCCACTAAGCTGTGTCTTTGTCCAATCAGTTGCTTTCCATTTATCTGTAAGAACACTTAGTTATTTTTGAGTTGAGTCGAAGCAAGGTTGGGTTATTTTTTTCCAGATATGAGGTGTAGGTAGAGGTATATAAAAATACTAAGACCTGGCCCCTGCCCTCAAGGAATATAAAGCAGGGGCTTGGGAGGTGTAATTGATCTAGTTAAGATACGCACCTTTAAGAAGCAGAATTGTCCTGGCTCTTCTGGAAAGTCTAGTGCAACTAACTAGGTAGATAGATGGAGAGGAAAGCTCTAGGGAGATTTGTTCCTTTTCCTGCCATGATGTAGGTCATGATTAGATGCCATGAGTACAATGATTAAATCAGAAGTCAGGTGCAGTCATTCTATACTCTTGGGGCACTTGGGGCCAGGACCCCTCAGGTATTAAGATTTGTAGTTGTGCCGGCGCCGTGGCTCACTAGGCTAATCCTCCGCCTAGCGGCGCCGGCACACCGGGTTCTAGTCCCGGTTGGGGCGCCGGATTCTGTCCCGGTTGCCCCTCTTCCAGGCCAGCTCTCTGCTGTGGCCAGGGAGTGCAGTGGAGGATGGCCCAGGTGCTTGGGCCCTGCACCCCATGGGAGACCAGAAAAAGCACCTGGCTCCTGGCTCCTGCCATCGGATCAGCGCGGTGCGCCAGCCGCAGCGCGCCGGCCGTGGCAGCCATTGGAGGGTGAACCAACGGCAAAGGAAGACCTTTCTCTCTGTCTCTCTCTCTCTCACTGTCCACTCTGCCTGTGAGAAAAGAAAAGATAGAGAAAAAAAAAAGATTTGTAGTTGTTTCAGATCCTTGTGTAAAATGACAATCATATTTGCATATAGCACAGATACCCTCCCATATACTTTAAACCATTTCTACTTTGCTTTTAATACCTATTACAACGTAGATGTTATATAAATAGGTATACTGTATTGTTTGGGGAATAATGACAAAAAAGACTACACATTACCGGGGGCAATTTTTTTATCATGAATATTTTAGATTTGCATAAGTCACAAATATGGAGGCCCAGGTGTAATTCAGAGATTTGCTGAAAGTTAAGGTTGTAGCTGTATTTTTTTTTCTATTTTTTCCTTTTAAGATTTATTTATTTGAAAGGCAGGGTGACAGGTAGAGACAGAGAAAGACATCTTCAATCTACTGGTTCACTTCCCAAATGACTACAATGGCTCAGACTGGGCCTAGTCAAAGCCAGGAGCCCAGAACTCCATCTGGGTCTCCCACATTGGTGGCATCATCTACTTCCTTCCCAGGTGCAAAAGCAGGAAGCCGATCAGAAGTTAGTGTCATAACTAACAGCTTAAACCACTGTGCCACAACTCTAGCGCCTGTAGCTTTGTCTTTATCTCCATGAAATTTCTCCATTATTTATACTGATAGCCATCTGTATTTTTCAGTGATGGCTATGCAGATGCAGCTCGAAGCAAATGCGGATACTTCGGTAGAAGAAGAAAGCTTTGGCCCACAGCCTGTTTCACGGTTAGAGGTATGTTCTTGGTTGCTAAATTTGGAATTATATTTTATTAGACTTCCTAGGAAATACCACCATCTTATATAAAACAAAGGTTTAGTACTACGGTCAAGTCCCAAATTCAGTTTCAGGAGAATTGTCAAGGATCCTGTTAAAAGACTTGAACATTGCTAGCTGTATGTGGTCAGGTCTGTTTTGTCAATGATTCTCTTCCTACTTTACCGTTTTCCTTTTTCAGAGCCGAATTATCAGAACATATAGCCTAGGATCCCATGGTCAACTTTTTTTTTTTTTTTTTTTTTTTTTTGACAGGCAGAGTGGACAGAGAGAGAGACAGAAAGATCTTCCTTTGCCACTGGTTCACCCTCCAATGGCCGCTGCGGCCGGCGCACCGCGCTAATCCGAAGGCAGGAGCCAGGTGCTTCTCCTGGTCTCCCATGTGGTGCAGGACCCAAGCACTTGGACCATCCTCCACTGCACTCCCTGGCCACAGCAGAGAGCTGGCCTGGAAGAGGGGCAACCGGGACAGAATCCGGCGCCCCGACTGGGACTAGAACCTGGTGTGCCGGCGCCGCAAGGCGGAGGATTAGCCTATTGAGCCGTGGCGCCGGCTCCATGGTCGACTATTTATGCTCTTTGTACAAAGTCTGAAAGTTTTGTTTAAGGAATTACAGTGCCTTGGGTCATTTATGCAGAGCATAGAGAGAAGCAGCTTCCCTCTGTTGATCTAGATCTGTGCAGAAGTTAGCAGCAAGATAGCCGTCACAGAAAGTATGGCTAGGAGTTTTTAAGGTGTAAGAGCCAAGCTCCGGCCGGCGCCGGGGCTCACTAGGCTAATCCTCCGCCTAGCGGCGCTGGCACACCGGGTTCTAGTCCCGGTCGGGGCGCCGGATTCTGTCCCGGTTGCCCCTCTTCCAGGCCAGCTCTCTGCTATGGCCCAGGAGTGCAGTAGTGCAGTGGAGGATGGTCCAAGTGCTTGGGCCCTGCACCCCATGGGAGACCAGGAGAAGCACCTGGCTCCTGGCTTTGGATCAGCACGATGCACCAGCCGCGGCGGCCATTGGAGGGTGAACCAATGACGAAAGGAAGACCTTTCTCTCTGTCTCTCTTTCTCACTGCCCACTCTGCCTGTCAAAAATAAAAAAAAATAAAAAAATAAAAATAAAAAAGAGCCAAGCTCCAATTTAGGACTTTGCATGAGAACATTAAGCACCAGAGCTGGGGCCCTGCACTATTTCTGCCTGTTGTGCTTTAAAAGCCCCAGAGTAAGTGCAGCTGACTTGGACTGAAAGAAGGCGGAGGTGAAGCAGAGAAAGGTTTGATTCGTGGGTCTCCTATTACATATTTCTCCCATCTCCAACTATGCTGCAAAACTCTGTGAGTTACTTAATGGATTTGTGATAGACATTTAAGAGTTCAGAGTCATAAGTTTGGGTGCCAGGAACATCATCATACTCACACATGGCTATTGCTTAAATATTAATAGTATTAATAATAATAAACACATGGTTTCTGTTGAGAAATACTGATCTTTCTCCTCTCCTAAATATTCCCTGAATCCCAAATATGTACACATCCCTCCACTAACTCTTGCTTTCCCAGAAGGTATAGTTTCAGTGACAAATAAAACCAAAGCCGACCTTATGTGTAGGGAAGAAGAGGTGTTTTTGGTTGTGGATTGTTAGGAGTAGTATAAAAGTGGTCATGTTTAGTAACAAAAAGTAGTATTCACTTTTTTTTTTTTTTTTTTTTAAGATTTACTTACTGGAAACTCAGAGTTAGGGAGAGAGAGAGAGAAAAACAAAAAAATCTTCCATCTGTTGATTCACTCCCTGGATGGCTATAATGGCTAGCACTGGGCCAGGCCAAAGCCATGAGCCAGGAGTCATCTGGATCTCCTACATAGGTGACAGGGGCCCAAGCACTTGGGCCATCTTCCGCTGTTTTCCCAGGTGCATTAGCAGAGAGGTAGATCAGAAGTGGAACAGCTGGGACATGAACCAGTGCCCATATGGGATGCCAGCATTGCAGAGCTGACTTTACAATGCTGGCTCCTCACCATTCTTAATGTCACTGGCTACAGCATAGCTCTACAGTTATTATTCTACAAAAAAGGTATAGATATACCAGAATAGTACTCCCCTCAGCTCTGGAGCAGCTTTATCTGTTCATCTTAGATTAGTATAAAACACCATTTTCTTTGTGTATGTTTGATGTACAAAGGGTGGGAAGACAACTGGTTTAAAGTGGCTTTTTTAGGGCCCAGATCATTGAGAGTCACAGTCATTAAAGGTTGAGGGTACTGGTTTAATCCCAATTCCTAATAAGAATCCATTTTAATATACATTGTATAGTGCTAGTTTCAAACTATTGGTTTTGATAATTTGTCATTGTAACTTCATGAGCAGGGTCCACTTCTTAAAGCTGTTGCATATAATGCAAGTTTTAGATACCTCTGTTAGGTGGTAGGGCACATTGTATCCATGTTAGATAAGAGAACCAAATCTTAAATTTATCCCTGGCTTTCTTCACTTACAGCAATGTGGCATAAATGCCAATGATGTGAAGAAATTGGAAGAAGCTGGATTTCATACTGTGGAGGCTGTTGCCTATGCACCAAAGAAGGAGTTAATAAACATTAAAGGAATTAGTGAAGCAAAAGCTGATAAAATTCTGGTGAGTACGGTTTATGTGACCCAGGGAGGCACTAGAGGGAATAGTACAAAGGGTGTAGCAAAATCTACCTCATTTCTCCAGTCAACCTGTTTAACAAATTAAGGTGTTTTGTTTTGTTTTGTTTTGTTTTGTTTTTTTGTGGACAGGCAGAATGGACAGAGAGAGACAGAGAGAAAGGTCGTCTTTTTTCCATTGGTTCACCCCCCAGTGGCCGCTGCAGCTGGCGCGCTGCGGCTGGCGCACCGCGATGATCTGAAGACAGGAGCCAGGTGCTTCTCCTGGTCTCCCATGTGGGTGCAGGGCCCAAGGACTTGGGCCATCCTCTACTGCACTCCTGGGCCATAGCAGAGAGCTGGATAGGAAGAGGAGCAACCAGGACAAAATCTGGCACCCCGACCGGGACTAGAACCCGGTGTGCTGGTGCCGCAGGTAGAGGATTAGCCTATTGAGCCGCGGCGTCAGCAAATTTTTGTTTTCTTGAGATTTATTTATTTTGGGGTGGCATTGTGGTGTAGCGGCTAAAGCTACTACCTGTAGTACTGGCATCCCATATGGGCATCAGTTCAAGTTCCAGCTGCTCCACTTCTGATCCAGCTCTCTGCTATGGCCTGGGAAAGCAGCAGAAGATGGCCCAAATCCTTGGGCCCCTGCACATGTGTGGGAGACCTGGAAAAAGATTCTGGCTCCTGGCTTCGGATTGGCCCAGCTCTGGCTGTTAAGACTATTTAGGGAGTGAACCAGTAGTTGGAAGACTTTTCTCTTTCTCCCTCTCTGTAACTGCCTTTCAAATAAATCTTTAAAAATATATATTTGTTTATTTCAAAGTCAGAGCTACAGAGAGAGAAAGGGAAAGACAGAGAAAGATCCTCCATCCTCTGGTCCACTCTCCAAATGGTGATAATGGCCAGAGCAGGGCCAGGCCGAAGCCAGGAGTTTCTTCCAGGTCTCCCACACTGGTGCTGGGCCCAAGCACTTGGGCTATCCTCCACTGCCCTCCCAGGCATACCAGTAGGGAGCTGGATCAGAAGTGGAGCAGCCAGAACTCAAACTGGTGCCCATAGGGATGCTGACGTTTTACTCACCATGCCATAATGTTGGCCCCCAAAATAAGTTTTCTTATTTTGTATATAACTCCTTGCATGAATTCATAATTTCTTTAGAGTTGTATTATCATGGGATTTGATATAAATAACTGTCAAATTGACTACCAGTTTATCCTCCCACTGTTAGTGACTGGTGTTTACCTTGTCTTTTTTTTTTTTTTTTTTTTTTTTGACAGAGTGGACAGTGGGGGAGAGAGAGAGAGAGAGAGAGAGAGAGAAAGGTCTTCCTTTGCTGTTGGTTCACCCTCCAATGGCCGGCGCACCGTGCTGATCCAATGGCAGGAGCCAGGTGCTTCTCCTGGTCTCCCATGGGGTACACGGCCCAAGCACCTGGGCCATCCTCCACTGCACTCCGTGGCCACAGCAGAGAGCTGGCCTGGAAGAGGGGCAACCGGGACAGAATCCGGCGCCCCGACCGGGACTAGAATCCTGTGTGCCAGCGCCGCAAGGCGGAAGATTAGCCTAGTGAGCCACAGCGCCGGCCAACCTTGTCTTATTAGAGATTATGATCTCTTATCTTAGAAATATTCATTAGTATGAAATTATTAAAACAGTTTAGTAGGATTTTACTGATAAAATGTTCACGATACAAGAACAAAACATTTAGGAGTGTATACATGGGTGTGTACAAATATATTTGATTTTTGCTTGTTTTTTAAGTATTTATATGAGAAACAGAGTTCCTATCTACTGATTCACTCCCCCAGATAGCCTCAGTGGCTGGGGTTGGGCTGGGCTTAAGCCAGGAATTGTATCCAAGTTTCCTACAAAGGTGGCAAGAGCACAGTTAACTTCAGCATTGCTGCTGCCTCCCAGGGTTTGCATTGGGAAGAACCTGGAGTCAGGAAGCCAGAGCCAGGAGGTGAACCTGGGCACTCCAATGCAGAATGCAGGTGTCTTAACCCTAAGCTAAATTCTTGCCCCTAATTTTTGTTTTCTTGAGACACATCTGATTTACTCCCCAAAAGCCTACAGTAGTAAGGACTGGATCAGGATTGAAGCTAGTGTCTAGGAACTCAATTCAGTTCTCCCACATGGGTGGCAGAAACCTGCGGTAGAATGAGAAGGCCATGCCAAGGTGGCCACTGGCAAGTGAACCTCAGTTACTCAGGGATGGCTTTGAATCCCACCTGGCAACAGAGCCTGCCTGGCAACAGGCTGTGATTGGATGGCTTTGAATCCCACCTGGCAACGGAGCCTGCCTGGCAACAGGCTGTGATTGGTTGGGGCATAGACAACCCCTTGACCGGACTGGCTGGTCTTGCCTATATAAGATGTTGTACCAACTGAAATAAACGAGTCTGTGGCCTGCTTGCCTCAAGCCTGCTTTCACCTGACTCCTGGGGTCTGTGTGGTGACTCTGTGCCTCTTGCCCCCACCATGCTCCACTGCAACATTGTTGAGAAATCAATTGCAACAGAAACCTATTTAATTGAGCCATCACCACTGCCTCCCAGGATGAGCTCTCAACAGGCAGCTGGAACTAGGAGCCAAAGTGGATACTGAACCCAGGTACTTAGATGTGGAGCCAAGGGTGCCTTAACTGCTGGATGAAAGCTCGCACTCTGATTTTTGTTTTTTACTACGTGTGTATGTTTAGATTTATGTAAAGAAAGTACATGGGAGAAATTGAGTAAGATATTAATGTTGTTATTGTGGGGTGATAAGAATGTGAGTGATTTTTATTTTTGCCTTTGTTTTCTGAAGTTTTTACACTTTTATTTTATTTGAAAGGCAGAGATAGGTCAAGAGACAGAGATTTCCTGTCCTCTGACTTGCTCTCCAAATGCCTGCAACAGTTGAGGTTGGGTCACGCCAAGGCCTGCATATGGAAACTCACTCTGGGTCTCCCACGTAGGTGGCAGGGACCCAACGACTTGAGCCATCAACTGTTGCATCCTAGGGTGCACATCAGCATGAAGCCAGAATTGAGAGTGCACCTGGGCATTTGACCATGGGATGTGAGTGTACCAAGTAGCATCTTCACCTCTGTGCCAAATGCCAACCCTTGTGTCTTTAAGATTTATTTACTTGTTTGAAAAGAAGAGTTACAAAGAGAGAAGGAGAGGTAGATCTTACATCCATTGGTTCACTCGCTGAATAGCCACAACAGCTGGGGCTGGTCCAGGCTGGAGCCAGGAACTCTATCCAGGTTTCCCACGTGGGTGCAGGAACCAAAACACTTGGGCCACTTTCACTGCTTTCACAAGCACATTAGCTAGGGAGCTGGATCGGAAGTGGAAGTTCCTCCAGGATAGGAACCAGAGCCCATCTGGGATGCCAGTGTTATAGGTGATGTTAGGGTTTTCAACCACGACCGAGAACGACAACCAAGACTACGCTGAGTAGAGAAAGAGTTTTATTAGGGCAAAGAACTGCCAGGAGCGGCCTGAGAGGGAGAGGAGCTCAGGGCTCATGTGTAATGCTGGGGGCTTTATAGGGAATTGGTGTCAAGGGAGGGGGCAGATAGGTGGGAGATGAGTTGGAGCGGCCTAACAAAGGGATGTGGGATGCAGGCTGGAGCAGTTGGAAAGGGTACCAGATATCAGGAGACAAGATGTCCCTGAAACAGGGAGTCTCTGAGACTGCCTATAGCTGGGGTAGTGATAGGTACCAGGAGGCACAGGATGTTTCCCTGATTGATAGCTGGGAATTGTAGGAACGGTGAGGCTCTCCAGGTGCACAGCACCTTTGTGTTTTTGTTTTCCTGATGCCAGGAAAGAGTGGGGGAGATGTCTTGATGTCCACACCCATGTGGATTCAGGGCTCTCACATTCCAGTCTTTTTGTTATAGGAAGTAGCAGCTTCCTGCTGAGGCGGGGCAGAGTGGGTTTTAGGCCAGGCTAGAAGGTGGAGTATTCATTTATGAGGTTGATGGGAGTGGCTGGTAGCTGTAATATCTCAGTAGCATCTGGTTAAATGTCTGGGCGTTGATGCTCCTGATTCAGTCCTGTATGAAGTGGAGTAGGCATGGGGCAAAAAGAAGTATAATACTGATGGTTATTACAGGTCTCAGAATCAGGAGAAGCCAAGGGAGGAGAGAGGTTAGTGGGCCCCATCCTTGCTGCCCTGGAGTCTCCTGTTGTCACTTAGCAATATGTTCTCTAAGTTGTTGTGCCATGTCTCTGACCACTCCAGATTTATTAGTAAAAAAGCAGCATTGTTCTCCCAGAAATACACATGTTCTCTGCTAATAAAAGATCTAATGCCCTTCTGTTCTGAAGGGCTACTTCAGCTGGGGAGTCAATCTGGTCCTGCAGATTTATAATGCAGGCTGCAACTTGTTCTAGCTCAGCATTCATGGTATTTGTTAGCTGTTGTATCTGAGTAGCACCGTGCGTTAGGCCAGCAACCCCTGTACCCACTCCTGTAAGAACGCCCAGTGCCGCTAGGAAAGGAAGGACAGTTATATCCCTTTTAAAGCAGGTGTTTTGAAAAACTGGTATAGGAAAAGATTGGTCTTGGGGCACAACAGAGACCTCTGGGAGGTAATTCCAGCTCCCACACTGGAAGAAGTGGCCTCCAGTTAAGCAATCCCCTTTAGTTACAGGGGTCGTGGAATTGCAGAGTGGAGTTGGAAAAAGGATTAGAGGACAGTGGGTCAAGGGATGGTGATGAGGTTAGATTGAAACACTGATATAGGCCTTTTGGGTGAGGGAGATGTTAAGGGAGAGACTGCCTCATTGGTGGGTGAGAGAGTAGAGTTTATCAGGACTTCATTAGTTGTAAAGGAAGGTTACAGGGTGGAGCAAATCAAGCAACCATCAGCCAGAGAGTTGTTGGATGAATTGAGGAGCTGGTCGATTGAGGAGACACATGAGAGCCAGTCAGGGCACCGAAGGTGAGGTGGTTTGGGTCTTTGTGGGAGAGGTGATAAGGGTCACCATTGAATGGTTACCTGTGAAAAGTGTTTTCCCAGGTCTTTGAGCACCTTCTTAACCCTAGCAACTTCCTGTTGTTGATTAAAGTCCTGGCGCCCTTCCCCAGCGCTATAACCCCAGTGAGTGGTTGGTGTCATACAGACCTTTGTTCCAGGGATTTGTTAAAGCAGCCACTTCTGAGAATTCCACCAGGACTGGCAGTTACCTCAATTACTGGTGATCCAGTGAAGGAACATTGGAATGGTTGTTTTTTGGAGTCATAACACAGCTGAAATGTAGCTGAGGCAGGAGCGGCACAGCACGTACATTTAGGAAGGGAAAGGGCTGAGGTGAATGTGAGGAGCAGAAAAAGGCGGTGGAGAGGGATAGGGTGCATATTGATACTTAGGGAATTGTTATTCAGGGATTACAGGAAGGGGTGATGATCTGGTGATCTTGATCTTGGTGGGACCCACCTGTTGGCAGGAGTACTTATCTGTTGTAGGATGTGTATTGGATGAAGTGGAAATCACAGTGGGTGCCTTTTTAAGCTGAGAGATGTATCCAGGAAGGATGTTGGAAATTGTGGCAGCAGTCAGAGTAGTGAGGACCACCAGGTGTGGACCTGTCCATCTTGGCTGTAGAGCCTGTGGATGAGAATTTTTGAGAAAGACCCAGTCCCCAGGTCTGATAGTATGGATAATAGGATCAGAGTGAGGTTGGGGAAGACCCTTGTTGGCATGTTCTCAGAGGAGTTGTCTTAACAGAGTGAGGAATGGGTAGATAATCTTGGGGATGGGGTTGGAGAGGAGGAAGGTCTGCTAAGAGAAAAGGCCGTCCATACGTGAGTTCAAAGGAGCTGAGAAAGATGGGAGCGTAAGGAGTGGCTTGGTTGCAAGTTAGGGCCATAGGGAGAAGACGGGTCCAGGGCAGGTGGAGTTCTTAGAGAGATGAGTTTGTCTGCTGTGAGGTAGTCAGGATTGCAGTTAATGGAAGGAGAAAAGACAAGTTGGGAGAGAAGGGAAAGAAAGATAGGGAGAAGTGTAACTTGGTGAGGATCCTCGACCCAGTAAGAGAGTAGGACAGGAGAGCATGACTAAAAAACTATGTGTAACCGGAGACCCAAAGATAGTGAATGGAAGTGGCCCTGTGGTAGGTGGCTGATGAAGCCGACCATCAATGCCCGTAACTCAAATATGGGAAGGGAAGGTCTGCCCATTATGGGCCAGCAGGACCAAACAGGTAGCCCGCGTATTGATAAAAGATAAAGGCTTAACTGCTACCTGGACAGTTACCCTGGGTTCCTCGGAGGTGGTGGCTATGGTCGTGGAAGGGGCTGAGGTCCCAGGGCTGCACCAGTCATCTGTAGCCAGTCCCAGAAGATCGCCAAGGCCCTCGGGGAGGAGGGAGTTGGACGATTGACTGTCTCTGATGGTGCAAGGATGGGCAGTCTACCTCCCAGTGTCCCTCACCACACTATGGGCAGGGCCATAGCAGAGGACCAGGTGTGGGGCAGTCCTGTGCCCAGTGTCCTGTGTTGTCACACTTGAAGCACAGGCTGGGAATGTCCATTGTCTCTGGTTCATGGTTCATCTTCTTGGGAGGAGACCACAGGACAGCTGCCAGGAGCTGGGACATTTTTGCCCATCTCTGGAGGCCCGGTCAGCCTTTTCTTGTTCCTCCCCTCTTTTTTTTTTTTTTTTAAAGGTTGTGATATTGACTAAGTCAGTAGGGCTCCCTAAAATCTATGTGTTATCCCTCTCTAGACTTCATTTTTTTAATGTTAGAAAAAATGCTGCAGGATTTTCTCTTAGGCCTTGTCAGAGCTTTGTTTCATCAGATTTATTTATTTGAAAGGCATTTGAAGGTATTTGAAACCAATTGTTCAGTTTCAAAACATTTCTCATGTGAAGTGTTCACTAATAAAAATAAAGTGACACTTGCTGAACCTGTCTTTATTTCCATGGAACAAACAACATTTCTTTTTTTGGCAATAATTCTTCTGGCCTTATGGGATCCAGTAAGGACCCCAGGAAAATATTAGCTGGTGGCAACAGACCTGCCTGTGTATGAACACCTACCACAACCCACTTTCTGGGTTATGATGCCTTTTTTTGGTTAAAATTTATTTATTTGAAAGAATTACAAAGAGAGAGTGAGAGAGAAAGATCTTCTATCCATTGGTTCACTCCAAATGGCCACAATAGACAGAGCTGGGCCAGACCAAAGTAGGAGGCTGGAGTTTCCGGATCTCCCACATGGGTGGCAGGAGCACAAGTACTTTTGCTGCTTTCCCAAGGAGCTGGATTGGAAGTGGAGCAGCTGGGACTCAAATCAGTACCCATATGGGATGCTGGCATCACGGGTGGTAGCTTAACCCACTATGCTACAATGCCAACAATGCCAGCCCACCCACATGATGACTTTTTTTTTTTTTTTTTGGAGAGGCAGAGGCAGAGAGAGAGATCTTCAATCCTTCAATCCGCTGGTTCACTCCCCAAATGGCCTCAACGGCTAGAGCTGGGCTGATCCAAAGCCAGGAGTTTCCTCTGGGTTTCCTACATGGGTGCAGGAGCCCAAGGCTTGGGCTATCTTCCACTGCCTTCCCAGACCATAGCAGAGAGCTGGTTTGGAAGTGGAGCAGATGAGTCTCAAACTGGCACCCATATGGGATGCCAGCACTGTAGGTGGCAGCTTCACCTTCTATGCCACAGCACCAGCCCCCAATTACTTTTGAAAGAGAAATCATTCTGGAAATTTTGTTAGATATTTTTCTCTTTTCCCTGGTTCTTGTTTTACTAATAACATTTGCACATTCCTAATATGAAAATCTAAAACCAAAATATTCCATACCTTTTTGAATGCTAATGTGACATTAAAAAGGTTTGAATTTTGGAATACTTCAGATTTTCACGTTAGGGATGCTCAACCAGTAAAGTCTGCAGATATTCCAAAATCTGAAACACTAATGGTTCCATGTATTTCAAATAAGAGATATTGAACCTGAGTTTTTATTGATTTAACATTTTTATTTTTCTCAGACTGAGGCAGCTAAATTGGTTCCAATGGGTTTTACCACTGCAACTGAATTCCACCAAAGACGATCAGAGATCATACAGATTACTACTGGCTCCAAAGAGCTTGACAAACTACTTCAAGGTATGTTAATCCCTTACCCTGTATTGTGAGCTCTAGCTATAAAAACATGTAGGCCATCAAACAAAACTAGAATATTTGCATAAGAGATTCATGTAAGGGGCTGGCATAGTGGGCAGTATAGTGCCTCCTGCAATGCTGTCATCCGTGTGTGCCTAATCAAGTTCTGGCTACTCCACTTCTAGTCCAGCTCCCTGCTAGTATGCCTGGGAAGGCAGTGGAGGGTGGCCCAATTGCTTGGGTCCCTGTGTGGGAGACCTGTAAGAACCTCCTGGTTCCTGGTTTTGTCCTGGGCTTGTCCCAGCCATTGCAGCTATTTAGGGAGTGAACCAGTGGATGGAAGATCTCTCTCTCTCTGTGTCTCTAACTCTGCCTTTCAAGAAAATAAAATTAATCTTGTGGCACCAGCATCCCATATAGGCACCGGTTTATGTCCCAGCTGCTTCTCTTCTGATCCAGCTCTCTGCTTATTGTCTAAGAAAGCATTGGAAGATGGCCCAAGTGCTTCGGCCCCTGCACCTGTGTGAGAGACCTGGAGGAAGCTCCTGGCTTCAGATCAGCCCACCTCCGGTCATTACGGCCATCTTGGGAGTGAACCAGCTGATGGAAGACCTGTCTCTGTCTCTCCTGTTCTCTACCTCTCAAATAAACAAACAAAATCTTAAAAAAAACAAAAAAAAAAAAACAAAACAAAAAAAAAACAAAAAAAAAAACACTTATTTTTAATCTCTTTAATGTTGTATTCCGAGAATAAGATTTCTCTGTCTAAGGAAATAACTGTAAATTTATGTTTCTCCTCTACCACAAAGTTAAGAAATATGACTGGTTACAACATTCTGTGTTTGAATACTATTTATTGTACAGTACAATAATGTTTAGGACTATGAGGAACGCTACAGTTTTGAACTTTTGGGAGCATACCTGTACTAATTGCTACAAAGTTAGTTTTGGTTCTTTACCCTTCTGTACCTATTAAATTATTCGCATTTTCTCCTCCTTGGGGGGTACAAAATAGCATGGGTTCAGGAATTATAGTCAAATTTGAGTGTTAGGGGCTGGTGTTATGGTACAGTGGGTTAAGCCACAGCCTTGCCATGCCAGCATCCTATATATAAGCACCAGTTCAAGACCTGGTTACGCCACTTCCAATCCAGCTCCCTGTTGGTGTGCCTACGAGTGCAGTGGAGGATGGCCCGAGTACTTGTGTGCCTGCCTCCCGTGAAGGAGACCCAGATAGATTCCAAGTTCTTGACTTCAGCCTAGTGTTGTCCTGGTCTTGCAGCCAGTCGAAGAGTGAACCAGTGCTTAGAGGATCTGTTTCTCTGTCTCTCCTCTTGGTCACCCTGCCTTTCAAATAAATAAACCTGGATGTGAGGGTGATCTAGCTGTGACATCTGTCACCCCATTGATCGCCAGGGTTGATTCGACTGATCTGGCTGGCTAGGCAGGTGTCCCCTTCCTCCCTCACCACTCCATGTGTGTCCTTCCCAAAGCTGCGCACTTGGTCGAAGAGGATGACCTTCCCCACTAGAGGAGGACCGGTTTTCGGTCAAGGGTATACAAGTAGCTGTGCTCCCCTGCTAGAACCTCCAAACAAGCTCTCAAATAAATAAACCTACAAAAAAATTACATTAGCTCTCCCTATATTCTTCCTTCTACCATTTACTGTCTATATTACATGATGAAAAGTATTTGTTATTTATAACTTTCTTGTCAATGGTAGCTTAATAATTTGCAATGGTATTAGCTTTTCATTACTACAGCAAAGTAGTTGAGGCACACAACTTTATAATAAAGAGAAAAAATTATTTTACTCCAGTTTTGGAGATTTAATTCTGAGATGAAGTGGATTCATTGGTTTGGCCTCCTATGAGACTGTCAGATAGGAAGGATAAAGCTTGTGTAGAGGAATGATTACTTGGTAAGCCAGGAAGGAGAGTAAGTGGCTGGGCCCAAATCAGGCTTTTTTGAAAAAGAGAGACAGAGTCAGTGCTGTGGCATAACAGGTAAGGCCACTGTCTGCAGTGCCCACATCCCATATTGGCACCAGTTCAAGTCCCAGCTGCTCCACTTCCAATCCAGCTCCCTGCTAATGGGCCTAGGAAAGCCACAAGGATGGTCTAAGTCCTTGGGCCCCTGCATTGTGTGGGAGATCCAGAGACATCTCCAGGCTCGTGGCTTCAAATTGGCCCAGCTCCAGCCGTTGCTGCCATTTGGGGAGTGAACCAGTGGATGGAAGATCGATCGATCTCTTTCTCTTTTTCTCTTTCTCTTTATCTCTCTGCACCTCTCTGTAACTCTGCCTTTCAAATAAATCTTTAAAAAAAAGATACAGAAACATCTTTCATCTGCTGGTTCACTCCAAATGCCCACCACAGCCAGGACTGGGCCACATAAAACCAGAAGCCTGGAACTCAATCCAGGTCTCCCTCATGGGTGGCAGGGACCCAAGTACTAAAGCCATCATCTTTGCCTTCCAGGATGCCCATTAACAGGAAGCAGAGCTGGGACTCAAACCCAGGCACTCTGATATAGTATGCAGGTGCCAAGCAGCATCTTAACTGCTGTGCCAAGTGCCTACCTTCTAACCCAAGCTTTTTTATAACAGTCTTCCTTGAATTACTTTCTGAGGGCACAACCCCACAATGACCTACAATCTGTCCTCTCACAACCTTGGGATTTAAATATCTGCATAAGTAGAGGGCTAAATCATTCAAACTATAGCAGTTTTTTGGGGTTTGTTTTAGATTTCATTTATTTGAGAGACAGAGCTACAGAGAGAGGGAGAGACAGACAGAAAGGTCTTCCATCCACTGGTTCACTCCCCAAATGGCAGCAACAGCTTGAGCTGGGCCCACCCAAATTTAGGAGCCAGGAGCTTCTTCCATGTTTCCCACATGGGTGCAGGGGCCCAAGCACTTGGGCCATCTTCCACTACTTTCCCAGGCCATAAACCAGGAGCTGGATTAGAAGGGGAGCAGCCAGGATACAAACTGGCGCCCATATGGGATGCCAGTGTTGCATACGGCAGCTTAGTTTACTTTGCCACAGTGCCAGCCTCCAGAAGTACAGTTCTATGTTGTGATTGTGGTCAAAGTTACATGAAGCTGCAAATACAATAACATTGTATAGAACTATAAATCTACACAAATGAGTGCATATGAAACTAGGAAAATCTGCATAATCTCTGGATTGTACCAATGTCAATTTTCTGGTAACAGTGGTATACTGTAGTCATGCAAGATGTTAACATTGGAGGAAACTAGATGACAAGTGTGCAGAAAGAACTTTTCTGTACATTTCTTTGCAGGTATCTATAAATCTATAATTTCAAAATAAGTCTTAAAAAATTATTGCTCATTGGAAATTGGGTTTCCAAATTATGTAAGCATCTTTCTTACAAGCTCTGAGAATATTTCTGTGATTTTACTTTGTACACATTTGTATTTTTCTGAGAAGTGTTTCTTACCGCTCATTTAGGTGGAATTGAGACTGGATCTATCACTGAGATGTTTGGAGAATTTCGAACCGGGAAGACCCAAATCTGTCATACACTGGCTGTAACATGCCAGGTGAGCTGCTGGGGACCTGGGTAATCAGATCAGCTAGAATTAGCTGATTCTTGACGTTTGTAAGCATCTGTTGGGATGTATGTAAAAGGTACTTTCTCTGTTCTTAAGGATCCTATAGCTGTTTGGAAGATACTTGTACTGTAGAATTCTTCTACCTCATAGAAGCTTCCAGATCTTTGATTCCAAATACTTTAACATCTAATAGGCATCTCTGGGCTTTACCTGCTCTCTTCTTCAGTCTAGGATTTAACTCATCATCAAAATCAATCCACTGGGGCTGGCGCTGTGGTGTAGCTGGTAAAGCTGCTTCCTGCAGTGCAGGCATCCCATAAGGGCGCCGTTTGAGACCCAGCTGCCCCACTTCCAATCCAGCTCTCTGCTATGGCCTGGGGAAGCAGTAGAAGATGGCCCAAGTCCTTGGGACCTTGCACCCACGTGGGAGACCTGGAAGAAACTACTGGCTTCGGATCGGCGCAGCTCCAACTGTTGTGGCCAGTTGGGGAGTGAACCCGCAGATGGAAGACCTCTCTCTGTCTCTCTGTTGCTGCTCTCTCTGTGTAACTCTGACTTTCAAGTAAATAAATCTAAAAAAAAAAAAAAAAAAAAATCCACTACAAATACTTCAGTTAACATACCTTCTTGAAAAGATGCCAACTTTGGATGAACTCCATTTTATTACTGCCTGTACCCAAAAGCTAATCATAATGGGGAAAAAAATCATACCATAAAACTGACTGACTTCATTTTAAATTCAAGATGACAGACTTTAGATTAGCATTTACTACAACTTGAAAAATCTGATGAGTTCTAGATACTTGTTCCCACTTAATTCAAACAACTGTCTCATATTTTTGTTCTGCCTCCTCAAACCTTCAGCCATCACTCAGCCAGTGACCTAACCTGCTGTTCATATCAAATCTATAAATCCCATCAGCATTGTATCCATCTATTCTTATCTTGGGTTATAATGGAGAAATTATCCCTTTTCCTTTCACAGGCCCATTCTGCCAGTGTGATCTGGTTACCGTCTTCTGCCACTCTTCCATTTTCTGTTCTAAATCTGTTAGATTATCTTCACTGGTTTGCAGATATGCCTATTATCTCTTCCATTAGGGAAAAACTTCCCAAACCCCTTCATTTATTTTTCCTTATGCTCCCATTCATGTGTGAATTCAACTCAAGTGTTTAATCTCGTATTGCATTTAAGTAGCTAATACGGGCATCAACCAAGACTTCAGAACTTGGGCTCTTGAAAGTTTCATAAAGGTGGAGCCTATAACTGGCTTGTTCCCTGCTATATTGCTAGTGCTAAGTCAGTGCTTGGCACTCAGTAATACTCAATAAGTATGTGAATGGATAGAAGTAATAGAATAGATGGTCTAAGGCATGCCTGAGAGATTTTTGTTGTTGTTAAGATTTGTGTATGTATTTGAAAGTCGAGTTATAGAGAGGTGCAGAGAGAGAGAGAGAGAGAGGTCTTCCATCTGCCGCTTCACTCCCCAGATGGCTGCAACAACCGAAGCTGCACCGATCCGAAGCCAGGAGCCAGAAGCCTCCTCTGGGTCTCCCATGTGGGTGGAGGGGCCAAGAACTTGGGCCATCCTCCACTGCTTTCCCAGGCCATTGCAGGGAGTTGGATCAGAAGTGGAGCAGCCAGGACCCAAAGCAGCACCAATATGGGATGCCAGCACCGCAGGTGGCGGCCCTACCCACCACACCACAGTGCCAGCCCCCTGATACATTGTTAAGTGAATGGTATAGAGGAAGTATCTTAAATATTTTAAGGAAGAGAAGAGAGATTGCTAGAGTAAATATGGACTATTTTATGGAGAAAAGATACTGGACCTGTGTTGCAGTTGATTTCTCAACGATGTTCCAGTGGATTCCTTTCTGAGAGGAGGAGCGTGGTGGGGGCAAGAGGCACAGAGTCACCACACAGACCCCAGGAGTCGGGTGAAAGCAGGCTTGAGGCAAGCAGGCCACAGACTCGTTTATTTCAGTTGGTACAACATCTTATATAGGCAAGACCAGCCAGTCTGGTCAAGGGGTTGTCTATGCTCCAACCAATCACAGCCTGTTGCCAGGCAGGCTCCGTTGCCAGGTGGGATTCAAAGCCATCCAATCACAGCCTGTTGCCAGGCAGGCTCTGTTGCCAGGTGGGATTCAAAGCCATTCCTGAGTAACTGATGCTCGCTTACCAGCGGCCACCTTGGCATGGCCTTCTCATTCCACCACAGACCTGGAGCATGAGCGGATAATTGACCCTGAAGAATGCTAAATTGGCCGGGGCTGGGGGGGTGGGGGGTGGGGGTGATGCAAGTTGTGAGTATAGAAGTTAAAAGCATTTATTTATGGAATGGGTTGAACAGGAGTTCAGAGAATGGGGAGGTATAATATATGAGAACACAGTGAATAAACCTATTTGCCTGGTTGTGGGAAAAAGAAATGTTGTGGGAGACAAACCTTAAAAAGATACATTAAGACCATATTTTGGAAGGTCTTCAGTATAGGTAAATTGAAAGTTTTTTCTGTAAAGAGTAGGGATCATTTAGTTTTCCTACAGAACAGTAGCATAACCAAACCATTTAAAATATCCTGGGGGCAAGCATTTGGCCTAGCAGGGCAGTGGTTCAAATGCCCTTATTTGGGGCAAGTGTGTGGCACAGCAGTTAAATCGTCACTTGGATGCCTATATCCTATATCAAATTGCCTGCTTTGAATCCTAGCTACTCAAATTTCTTTTTCTTTCTTTCTTTTTTTTTTTTTTTTATTAAAGATTTATCTATTCATTTGAAAGAGTTACGCAGAGAGAGAGAGCGAGAGGTCTTCCATCTGCTGGTTCACTCTCCAATTGGCCACAACGGCCAGAGCTGTGTTGTTCCGAAGCCTAGAAGCAGGAGCTTCTTCTGGGTCTCCCACACGGTTGCAGGGGCCCAAGGACTTGGGCCATCTTCCACTGCTTTCCCAGGCCATAGCAGAGGGCTGTATTGGAAGTGGAATAGCTGGGACCCAAACTAGCGCCCATATGGGGGATGCCAGCACTGCAACTGGCGGCTTTACCCTCTACACCACAGCGCCGGGCACTCTTCCATTTCCAATCCAGTTTCCTACTAATGCACACCCTGGGAGGCAGTAGGTGATGACTCAAATATTTGAGTCCCTAACACCCACCTGGGAGAACAGGATTGAGTTTTTGACATGGCTTTGGCCTGACTCTGCCTTGACTGTTGCAGACATTTAGAGAGAGAACCAGCAAATGGGAGTGCTCATGGCACTCTGCCTCCCTCTCATCTTCTCAAAAAAGAATCTGGAAGAGACCTGTTGAATAGATTGAAAGAAAATTACCAATAAAAATATCCCTCAGCCCAAAAAATATTAATCTGATATTTAGGCAGCGGATAGTGTTGTGGTGCTGAAGCCAGGAACCAGTAGCTCCATCCAGGTCTGCCATGTGAGTGGCAGGGCCCAAGCACTCGGGCCATCTGCTGCTGCTTTCCCAGATGCATTAGCAGAGAGTTACATTGGAAGTGGAGTGGCTGAGACTTGAACTGGCACCCTTGTAGGATACTGATTGTTGCAACTGGTGGCTTAATCCACTACACCACAGCAGCATACTCCAAATGCCATTTTTTTGAGGTAGAATTCTGATTCTTTCAGGAATGAAAGTTTATCTCCTGTTTTTCATACTTTTTATCTCTTTCACTTGTCGTTTAGTATTCAGTGTTTGATCAGTTCACTGATCTTTTCTTTGTAGCCCAAAACGTCACCATAAGTCTAGTGAGATAACAGTTGGGATTTTTTTTTTTTTTTTTTTTTTTAAGATTTATTTATTTCGGTCGGCGCCGCGGTTCACTAGGCTAATCCTCCACCTTGTGGTGCCGGCACACCGGGTTCTAGTCCCGGTCAGGGCGCCGGATTCTGTCCCGGTTGCCCCTCTTCCAGGCCAGCTCTGCTGTGGCCAGGGAGTGCAGTGGAGGATGGCCCAAGTACTTGGGCCCTGCACCCCATGGGAGACCAGGATAAGTACCTGGCTTCTGCCATCGGATCAGCGCGGTGCGCTGGCCGCAGCGTGCCGGCCGCGGCAGCCATTGGAGGGTGAACCAACGGCAAAGGAAGACCTTTCTCTCTGTCTCTCTCGCTGTCCGCTCTGCCTATCAAAAAAAAAAAGATTTATTTATTTATTTGAAAGGCAGAGTTACATAGAGGCAGAGAGAGGGAGAGAGGTCTTCTGTCCACTCGTTCACTCCCCAAATGGCCACAGTGGCCAGAGCTGCGCCAATCTGAAGCCAGGAGCTTCTTCCAGGTCTCCCATGTGGGTGGAGGGGCCCAAAGACTTGGGCCATTTTCTCCTGCTTTTCCAGGCCAAAGCGGAGAGCTGGATAAGAAGTGCGGCAGCTGGGACTCCAACCAGCGGCCACAGCACTGGCCCCCAAGTTAGGATTTCATTATCAAGTAGACCGAAGCCATTACTGTTTCCTCGTAAATAGTTCTGAGGAAGAAAGTGTGTGTGTAGGCTTGAGGTTGGGGACAGGGGAGAGGTGTGCTGGAAAATTTTTAGGGTAATAAGGGAGGAGGCATTGAGAAGAGGAAAGGTGATGATAAGCCATACCTATTACCTGAGCACCATTTGAAATTTGATACCTAAGGAAAATAGAATTGTTTAAAAGAGCCTGACATGGGTCGTTTGAAATGAAGTATGACCTTTTTAAATAGAAATGTTTTCCCTATGTTGTTTTGAGAGGGATTCATGCAGAATAAACATTTAGAGTATAGTATACATTATCCCCAGTTGCCATGGCAACTCTGTATATCATAACTAATCTGGAGGTGGCTGAATAATAGATTTTTTTATTTTTCTGAGAAAAAATTTTAATTCATTAAAAATAGAAAGCATTATATTTTGCCAGTCTAACCTGGAACTATAGGTATAGAAGAAATGTTAGGTTACTACTTAGTTCTAAACAGTATTTGCCCTCATTGTTTAGATGTTTTCAACTAAATGAATTAAAACCTCCACTATATTGAAGTTCTAATAGTGAGGTTAAA